AAAAAAATAAATACAGACATTATGACAATATCCAAAATAGGATATCAGTGTAATGAGATTCAGCTCCAAAACACCTTACCTTGGCTACTCAGAAACAATGCAACAAAGCACAAGAGACAGGCTTGAATGCATTGCACTTTGTTTGGGGTCTTGTTTCAGCTTTAGGCTTTTCTTACTGACTTGTAAAATGATGTCTAAGAGATGGTGATAAAAGAAGAAGAAGAAGAAAAAAAACAAGATGAGACAGTTTGATTTGGATGTAGACACAAGGGCCAAACTGCATTCCTTTGATTGTTATGTGAATATTTTTCTTTTTTTAGTTGTATGTGAGTTTCTAACATGTTTCTGTCCACTGAGAAATACAGTTTACTCTTTACTATTATTGGGTTCCTATCTGAGACACCCACCAAAAAAAAAAAAAAAAAATACAATCAGGTTTTCCTGCTTTCTTTATTTGTCATCACCATCTCACCCCCCCTACTGAATGTAGCCTCTGGAATATGGCCGCTCTATGTAGTATCCCAGACCTGTTTCATGTAGCCTTTAAATTCAGCAGTAGCCACTCCGACTTCAGTGCGCACACCTTTAAATCAAGTTGGCTGAAGTCGCACCTATCCACGTAGGACATTTTGAAGTGAATGTGTAGATGCTTTTTTTTTTTTTAATGGCAGTGCAGAACGCGCTCTGCTAATTGGCATGCTTTTCTGTCTGCGACAAAGAGAGGCCCAGCTTATGGCGAGCCAGATCACAACAAACCCAAAGCCCGTGAATGATGTCAGCCTCCTCACAAGCACAGCAAAGGGCGCATTCATTCAGAGGATTGTAGAAACTATGTGATGGGTGATTGTAAAAAAAAAAAAAAATGTACAAAAAAAAAAGTGCGCCTACATGAGTGTGGATACATATGGTAGATGTTTAGCCATGTGAATTACGCACCACTCTGCAGCCATGAAGCCCCAAACTCACCCAACTCACCATGGGCCTTATTTCTGAGGTTGGAACGACAATTCAAACTTAGATTCTCAGCCTGTAAACTGGCTATTTTTTTTAAAGCTTTGACACAAGCTGGTGTGTGAGCAGGCTTGCAGTTTAAAAAAAGAAAAAAAAAAAAAGAGAAAAAACAGAGGGGGTTGAGAGGTGGTGGTGGGGGAGTAGCTGTGTTGCAAGAGCGAAGCTTTCAACCTTTAATCCGCATGTCAAAAGCATAGGCTGCACGGCATAGGAAGAAGAGGAATAGCCCTGCGCCCAAAGCTGCGCGGCTTTGCCCCCCTGACGCACCAGCCTATTCTCACGCAGCGCTCACAATGCTCGGCTGAGGGACGGAGATGGTGGTAATGGCCTGTTGGGAGGGCCTTTCCACCGTTAAGACAAATAGCTCTCTGACAGTGACGCTATCAATGTAAACAATTGCATCGTGCTGCAGCAGCTAGAGACTGTATGCTCTCTCTCTCTCTCTCTCTCTCTCTCTCTCTCTCCCACCTTCCTCCTCTCCCCCACCTCCCCCTGCCCTCCTCACTCACTCATTTACTTCGCTTTTTTGATACAATACTTGAGGTCAGGTTTTTTGACATTGAATTTGAAGTCACTGGTTGTTTATATGAAACTGAATATTTATTTTTGTGAATTTTATGGGGTTTCTTGTATATTGATTTTTTATTTTTTTTTGGTTGTGAACATACATAGAAAAACTGCACTCGAAATGGAAACTTGAACGGTGGATTTCTGAAGCACTTTCCCTTTCTTTTTTTTTTTTCTTAATTATGAAGCATTCATTAAACGGGACTGAGTGTAATTATCAGGCTGTTTCTCTTTCTTTTGAGTTGTTGTTTTGGTGGTGGGGGGGATGTGATGTGTTAAACATGGAAATCTGGGAGGGTTGTAAAGTGATTATACAACTTATTTATGAGTAGTTCCATTTTCTTTTCTTTTTTTTTATATTCTGTACTCACTTTGCAAACGCTGCTGCTTTTCATCTTTGATGCAGGAAATCTTGTTCTGCTTTGTCATAAAATGTCCTCAGCCTTTCAATTTGCTCTAATAGGAGTAATTTCAGAAATGTTAAAGCCATATCTAGTCTTCAATTAAATACAGATAAGTGGTTTGTCCTGAGGCAAAGAGGTTTTGAAAGGAAATAGATCCCAAATACATCTGCACTAGTGCTTATCCACATTGTAGGCAGTTTAACAATAGAACTAATGATGACTGAGGGCAAATATCCTTCAAAGAAGGTCAAATGTTGTGTCTTCAGTTTGGTTAAACTCTTCCAGTAGCGAGGGATTCCCTTCCCAGTGTGTCTGAGGGGTGTGGGAAGGAAGAAGTGGTAGGCCTCCGGAGCCTGCAATAATAACAAGAGGCAAACCGCAGACATTTACGCATGCAGCATTTCCAACCGCTGCACATGAGGTGATGCAAACCTACTGGGTTTAATATACGAGGCAGCGAGAACCCACAATAAACTGGCCAAAACAACGCTCCTGCAGGGACATTTAAACCCCTAGAAAAACTCCAAAAAGACAAACGGTATTGTATAGTGCATGTATTTGCATAACGCCTGTGAGCAGGGATGACCACGGTGCGTAAAACGTCAATATTCCCTTCCATAAACAACTATCAATCCTGCAGGAAAGCAACTACATAGGATAGAAAATCCACAATATACTGGTTCCATATGCAATAAAACAAACAGTTTACAACCACGCAGGTACCGATGGGAAGAGAAACACAGGAAAACTGCTAAAGCCCCCCTAAAGGCGATTCGAAATTACAGAATAGTGTGTGCAGCGCAGGACCAAGCAACTCTTCTAAGAAGCTTTGACCAGACTTGCCCTTCGCTCAGTCTGCCATGTTTGACGCGATGTTTCCCTGATTAATGAGACTCTGCGGTATAAGGTCCAGGCCAAAGCCCCGAGGTTGATAAGGGGAGCCGGGGGCTGGCAGGTTGTCTGGCCCCGGCTTGGCGGCTGCTGCTGCTGCTGCTGCTGCTGGAGCCTGCAGGGGCCATAGCAGAAGCAGAGACAAGCCATTATGCTGCTGCTGGCGTTTCAGGGTTAAATTCCTGTGCGGATTGGGAACCAGCAGACTGTAACTTCTATAGAATAACAATAGAAGGAATACATAAAAAAAAAGAACAAAACAAGACTCAACACAAGAATAATAATTTTTTACCAAAAAAAAAAAAAAGACAAAGTTTTCCAAAGAGCTGAGCTTATTGCGCTCAAATGTGTAATTCGTCACTGACTGCCCGTTTGGGAAACCAAGTTATTGTTAATGCTGACAGACACATGCCGCGTTAGGGTCAGCACTTTGCATTGATCTTTGAGACAATTAAATACACGGAGGCCGATAAAAGCTGTCAGGACGTTTTTATGCGTAATCTCTCAACTGTAAAGTATTTGCCTGTCACTCTTCTCTTTACGCAAGGTCACTCACGAGCTCATAATATTTGGGTGTGAAATATTAATAAACAAAACAAATGTTTTGACTTTGTTTAGTAGCAACTTGTGGATTGTATTTATTTATTTATGGGGGGGGGGGGGCGTTAACAATTTCTCTGTTTGTTTTGTTGTTTATTTTGTTTGTTTCCCCCCAGTGCACTGCTGTCTCTTTCTTTCTGTCTTCCTGTAAATGAATTTGTAAAACGTATTTGTGTGGGAGTAGGAGAGACTCGGGGAGCATGAAGAGCCCCCCAGAAACGGCTCTGCATGATAAAACAGCCCTGCCAGAGCTCCAAACCTATAGATTGCCAGCACACTTGCAGCCAGCTGCTGCTGCAGGACATTGACCTGCTGCACATGTAAGAAGGAAATAAGATCTCACACTTAAAGGTGAAATACTCCCATATTTATCTTTGAAAAGGAGACAAATCAAGCAAAAAA